ACTTGCATACATCCACCTTAAACAGAAGAAAACAAGAGGAACTGCAATTGTCTTGATATTACATTTCCAGGTATGTTTCCTGTAAGCCGTGAGGGAAGACAGTCACCCTTGTTTTTTCTTTCACATATCCCAGAGCAGCCTGCAGGGGCCAGTAACCTGAACTAAGGACACTGCGGAGCCAGCCAGGAACCAGCTCTCTGCTGGAGAGTGGAGGAGAGACAAAGCCCTTACCACAGAACAGCATTGCTTCTGGCTGAGTCCTCTCAGATGAAGATTCCTTTCTGAGTATGGTACCTAGATTTAAGGGCAAGAGCTTGACTTGCTCAAACACATCAAAGGCAATGATTTCTGAGAGACATGCCAATAACACAGCCAAAAACTTCTTTTGAGCCCTAACCAAAAGGGTGAAATTGAGACCCCACCTGGGGTACTGTGTCCAGCTCTGGAGTCCTCAGTACAGGAAAGACATGGACCTGTTGAAGCAGGTCCAGAGGAGGGGCACAAAAATGATCAGAGGGATGGAGCACCTCTCCCATGTAGAAAGGCTGAGAGAGTTGGAGTTGTTCAGCCTGGAGAAGAGAAGGCTTTGTAGACACCTTATTGCAGCCTTGCAATACTTAAAAGGGGCCTACAGGAAAGGTGGGGACAATCCTTTTAGCAGGGCCTGTTGCGATAGGACAAGAGGTAATGGTTTTAAAGTAAAAGAAGGAAGATTTAGAGTAGATTGAAAGAAGAAATTCTTTGCTGGGAGGGTGGTGAAACACTGGAACAGGTTGCCCAGAGGCAGTAGATGTCCTGTTTCTGGAAACATTCAAGGACAGTTTGGAAGGGGTTCTGAGCATGATCTAGGTGAAGAGGTCCCTGCTCATTGCAGGGGGGTTGGATTAGATGACCTTTAAATGTCCCTTCCAAGCCAAACTGTTCTATGATTCTATAAGCTAGAGAGGAATGTGTCTCCCTTTTAAAGACAGGAATGTCTTCCAACAAAGTTCAATTTTTACCCATTTTAGAAGTATTCTAGTATCTTATGCAGTGTCACCACAGTCATAAAAAAACGTTAGCTGAACATTATTAACAAACATTGCTTTTCTGTAGTTTATTATTTTTTTGTTTATATTTATAAGCTTACTATTATCTCACAACCTATGTTGTCTAAAAGTTTGTCCAGGTTTGTAGACCACTAACAGTCTATAGCAAAGAAATACTGCTTCTCAACGAAAACAGCAACAGAAGGAATCTTTCTTTGATGTCTCTTCCCCCTACTCCCTCAAAAAAAAATAGGTAGCCTGCTTTATAGTATTATGTTGTACAGATATTACTAGAGAATCATTCAGTCTTACAAACTTAAGAAATCCCATCTCACCTGAATATGGACTCTGATTTAGAAATCAGAGTAAGTCCCTACAAGTTAATCCAGCAAACAAAGAGGGTTCAACAGAAGAATCAATGGTTCACAATATTCTCAGTTTTGAGTACATCAGTTGTACATCACATGTAAACAGAAAAGCACAGTCTAAAGACTTCCACTGTCAATTCCTACAGCAAATGCAGTCCTGCTTTATGGTTTCTTGTCGGAGGCAAGACACAAAAGGCTTTTTTTGGCCTTGAACCTCTGTATCTGGCTGAAAGATCCCTGTGCACTAAGGAGTTTTTGTTTTAAAAACAAAACAAACAAAAAAACCCCCAAACCACCCCACACTCACATTATTTATTGCTCAAACTACCCCTGTGAACTCCATCAAATGTTTATGTAAGACTACTATTTATTGCCCCTGCATTGTCCTCGCACAGACAGACTGTACTGGATTTGCTTCCAGCATCACCAGCTTAAGTTTAATTTCTACCGCACACTAATACAATAGAATAATCACACCTAGAAGTTTCACAAAAATCAGTACATACTACCTTCTCCAGAGATTAAGAACAATAATTTCTGTACATTTTCTATCTTGCCAAAAGGGCTCACAAGTCTTACTCTGTGGCACCTTTTAAAACTTTCCAGATAACACCAGTTTCAGGAGCTCATGCTGACAGAGAATGACTGAAGACTTCCAACTCCCTTACTTTCCCCTAAATTAAAGGTGAAAGAAGATTTAACTCAGAGAAATCACTATTTTTGCAGATCATTAACACTTCCTTGTAGGTTCTCACTGAAAAGTAATCCAAACCTCATCTACCCCAGCACTGTTCTTGGCTATGCTGATGTCCTTTTGCCAACAGCTCTTCATTTCTGCAGCTAAACTACCAAGCAAGTTCTCTAGACCTGATCCACAATATAACATTCACATGCTTCAGGTATCAGCCACTACTTTCTTTTCCTCATTAGTTTCTGCCCATTCCCCACTATCCCCATGGAGATGCTAGGCCCCAGTCCCACATAAGAGACCACTCAGCCCACACATCTCCTGACTCGGACACCAGTATTACTCAGTCTTTTTGTTCATGTGAACATACTCCAGCCACAGGAGCAGCAGCAGACTCCTGATTGCCTGGATTTCTGCCTGGATTTCCTCTGGCTCACTCAAACAATCAGCATTTGCACACCCTCCTACAGTTGCTTTCTTCATGCAACAGCTTCTTATCAGCACCTTTCTGGTAAACTTTCTCCCCACCTGGTGTTTCTTGGGAATTGGGACAGGAAAAGGAAAAAAAAATATAATGCAAGTCTGACAACAATGTAGGCACCAGACTTTGATCCACTGTACTGTTTCCAAACCACCCTCTATCATTTCCTCACTGGTCAAAGCAAGCACTGCCAGCAGACACAACTAACCAGAAAGCTGAGCAGCCTGAAGGCACTGAAACCTGTCACCAAAAAAAACCAACATAGCAGCTGCACCTGTTCAGATATACCCATGCAATTAACAACAAACAAAGGAAAAAAAATCAAAAACCATATTTTTTATCATTATTTACTACATGAAAGAGAAAGTCTGGGCTAGGTGCACATCTAACAGCCCAACAGTTCCATAAGGTCTTGTAAAAGCAAAGAGAAGGGAAAAGAAAAACCACCACCAAATCAAAGACCTAACAGCCACACATCATTTCAAGTCTCTCCTCAACAGCACTCATCTCTCCTCTGCAAAAAAAAAATAAAAGCAGTTTCCACACAGACAAAGTTCCCGTTAGGTGAGGAGGGACAAAACACACCCAGCATCAGCACATTGATATCCCACATTCACAACGGATTAATAACCCATTCCAGGCTGGAACCAGGCAGTCACTGCATTGCAAAGCTGTGCTACATAGGGCTTTTCAAAACATTATTTCCACGTACAGCCTTTTTTCCCTAGAATATCAGCAAGGCACAAGAAGGGTACAACAGGAGCTCAGTAAGATGCGATCTAAAAGCAGCAGCCTTGTCATACAACCCGCACTATTAACACTGTATATTAATTCACTGCTTCGTAACAGGTATGTAGCCCTGCAACCCGGTAGGGTTTTTTTTTCTTATTTGCATGTACTTTCTGGGCGGGGCAGCTTTTGCCAACTTATTTTAATATCGCCCCCCCCCCTTTTGTTTTTATCAAGGTAGGCAACAGGACCATGAAAATATTGGAAGCATAAACCTGTCCTGGAGCTGCAGCACCCAGTGCTGGCAACCAAAGCCACACTCCCGCCACTTGTTCATTCACCCCGTGAAGGCCACCAGGAAAAGCGGACTACGCAGCCTGCATCCTAAACTTTGCATCCCTGCGGAGAGCCACCGCCTCGCCCCCAGCGGGCCCGCCTCAGAACAGGTCCCGTCTGCCCGAAAACAGGAGACAGACACATGGAAACGCTGAGGGCGCAGCGCTGCCCCGGCTCCGCCGCCGCTCTCACCGCCCTGTGGGAGAGGGGGCTCGGCTCCCCTCGCTCCGGGGGCGAGGGAGGGGAAACTCCATCCCCCCACGGCTCCATCGCCCTGGAGCTGCCCAAGGGCTCCCTGGGACTCCGGGCAGCGACACGGCGGGGGCGGGCAGGGCTGCCGGGAGCCCCGGGGCCGACACTTTCCCCCCTCCACGCACACTCCGAGGTACACGGTACCCCCCTTCCCCCCTCTCAGCGCCGGGGAAGGGACGCGGCCACTTACAGCTCAGGACCCCCAAGTAACCGAGGAGCAGCAGGCGGAGGCTGCGGCTCGCCATCTTCCCGGCGACGGCCGCTCCCCGCCGGCGGCAGCGGCTAATAAGCGCCCGGGCGACGCCGGCGGCGGGGCGTGGGGCGCGGCCGGGGGGATGGGGAGGGCGG